ATTAGTTGTAGATAAATAGGCTAAGATGACGTCAATAAGAAAGTAGATGAGACAAGATTATCGATTACATATAATCGTTAATCCAATGGTACTAAGTACTAGAGGGAAGAATACGATAGATACCGCTCTTTTATATTGAAGCATCCGTTCTATGTCTTTTTGTTTGTTATTCTAGAGAGTCGTATAAAATCAATCGACCAAAAAAGTACCTTACGTTTATATCGAATAGTTTGGCATCCTAAAAGAAAACTTTTGCATCAAGAACACGTGCTTTTCAAGTATACATACGTCACCAGATTCATACTACCATAGATAAGGCACGAGCATTGATTGATTTTCATTGTGAACTATATATGAGTGAATCGTAAGTTTTTTGTACAATTGACAAAAAAAATGAAAGTGCTCCCAGAGAAAATCCGATTGGTACATTTTGTTCCTTATCATTCAGTGAATCTGTAGTAAAAATTTCCGCGCTACCCGACTCGTCCTTGTCGAGATATTCGAACATCAAGTTCGGGTTTTCAACAAAAACCTTTTTAAAAGAAATTGCTCCGAAGATACGCTGAAAGCCCATGTATGATGCATCATTAGATAGATCTGAGGTGGTGTAATCTAATGGTATTCACAGCAATCGAAGTGCGCCAAAAAGGAAAAACCCGAAAAATGTCCAAATACGCATTTTTCCGAAGAAAACCTCATAAAAAAGCCGATTTTTCTGAGGTTACGTGTCTAGAGAGTCTGCAAAAACTGCAGAATATTGTTATATGTCCTCGTCTTAAAGCTCTCGGTCTATTCTGTACTCTTTCAAAGTCCGAAGTCTTATTTTAGACACTAGGTTTAACCACATTGTTTTAAGGTCACTTTATTCACTACATTTCTTGTTTATTTCATGTTAAAAATATAAAAAGCAATAAAACCTATAGTTCTGAGTCAAGATATTACATTAAAATCACTCATAGAAGCGAAAGTATGGCTGTGTTACTAAAAACTTAAAACTTCATTGCTAATAACATTTCCTTATCGCTTGATATGTTTTTGCCATAAAATTTTCCATCACTCGTTGCTACTACTTCGTGTAGAGTAGCAGTGCCTTTGATTGTGGAAAGTTTCGGTAATGCTTTTTTTACTTTTTCAACATCGGATTTTCCATAATGATATAGTTTTTATATCAGTCCTGCCTTCAATGGCATCGATAAGATCAGACGCACTAGAAAACGAATCATCAGGTTTATAATTGATCGCTTCATCCATCTTCCTTTTCAGCCTGGCCCCAACTGAATCAGCCGCTCATTTCCCATGTCCCACTTCCAAATAGCTCAAAAAGAAATGAATCAGACTCAGCACGTGTTCATGAGTCGAAAAGTCTATGATTGTAATGCTTTCCGTCGAAATCAAGTTAAAAATATATAAGCAAAAATCGGGTCCACAAAAAAAACTGGGTCTACAAGAGAAACTGGGTCTACATTCTGAGGTATATCGTAAAACTCACCCTAAAAGTAAGCGAAACAGAGAACTAGTTGATGATATTCTTGTTCAGTTTTTCACGCTGCATCTTTCTATGGCAGTCCGACTAATTTTCTTTCAGTAGTTGAGGAATAAAAGACAAAACAATTCTGAAAAACTGGGTCTACAGTTAGTATGTAATTAAAGCTTTTTGGTCTTCTGGCCTAATTAAAAAACGTTTACCACAACTATTTTTAGATAGTTTTGTAGTATTTTTTACGCTCTATCTTTTACTGGTTTTGGTTTTTTAAAAAGCATGTTCCTTGTTCCCTCTAGGATCGTTTTAAACTGGGTCTACACTTTGTCTGTAAATCTGTTTTCGTCAAATAGAACCAAAAAAAAAACAAACAAACAAAAGTGAGTCACATGGATAGATAGAGAATTAAATTCTGCACAAAACTTGCTATTCGTCTATTTTATTTTTCTTCTTTCGTTCCTTCGAAAATTTCGTTTTCTATCGATGACTCATCGAAAAAAATGGTTTTTTGGAATTGTCCCGCTTATATCTCAGCCGGACGATGAGCTATGGAGCTGAAATTTTCCGTGGTAGTGGGAGATACATTAAGGAATGCGAGAAAAAAAAAGATCTGAGATTGCACTATAGGAACTGGAATTACAGGGGAAAAGGTTAAAAAATGTAATTGTACAATAAAGTTACGATTCACTCATATATTTTATTTGAATAATGAAAACAAAAATACGATAGCAGTAGAATAAAAATATTTTTTCTTTCTATTACTTCCTTTAAATATAAGCACCTATATAAAAATGTATCACTTTTGTCTGTTTTGAGGGTGTGGGTACACTTCTTCATTTGGTCCAAACACTGCCACACCCACATCTTTGATGAATATAAGTCTGTTATATAAAAGATTTAATTAACATGGTATTGGTTTTGTGTTTCAATCGATCATTGTTTGTCACTATTAAGAAAGCGCTCAATGGGTAGAATCGTTAGACAGTAGAAGAAGAAGAAGAATACTCCACATTTCGGCTATCTTGCGATATAGGATGCTGCCCGAGGACTGTTTCAAAAGCCCGACATTTTTTCTAAATCTATTACTAAATGTAGCTCTGGACAGAAGATCGACCTGACTCAGAGTTTTCCTCGCTTAATTACTAAAGCTTCCCGTACATACTGACTAACCACATATTAGGCACAAGAGCTTTTTAGTTTATGTCAACGCGTAGTCAGTTTGTTATCAGATGGATGATCCGAGACAATGCAGCCGTTATTGACTTGTCCAAAATAATTTTATGACTGATAGGGCCGAGGTTTGAACACAGTACCTTATGGGTATGTGTCAATCATCTTAACGATTCAGCCATAGCGGGTTTCGTTAGACACTAACTAATTAATATTGTTATTTTCTTGAGTTTAAATAATTACACAACATAAAATGATATACTTAATATCGAAATATGTGACGAAGTACATGTCAAACTCTTCGTAATCGATAACATTTATTTGTTAGAATTGAGTAGCCAGTATTCTCATTGAATAGGTCATGCATATTTTATATTTTCTTTATTATGTCAGATTATTTCCTGTGTATCCCGACGGTATCCGAGATAGACGGAATCCGCTTTTTCTCCCTTGCCCACACCACACCCACACCCACAACAAACAGAAGATAAATTAGATACATTCGATATTCTTCGTTCATGTTATTCCCGTATTAAAACTGAATCAATATGTCTTATTACCTGTGATCTTTTTGAAAAAGTTAACCTTACACCATTAATTAACATGTTTAGAGTAAGAGATGCATCTTTATCTATGCTTTTACTTAAAAGAACAACATCAATAACAACTGGAAAAGAATCTATTGTATAACCTGGAGAAAAAATTAAATTCACTACAGGTTAGAATATAATATATTTAAATAATTTACTTAATCGTTTATATGAATGTCTTCTCTTTTTGTTTTTATATAAAAGAAATTTTGAAAAGATTTTCTATAATCGAACTCATTAAATAATTAAATAGAATAGTCTACCAATCAATTGCTTCTTTCTTCTAAAAAATATTTTATTTTTCATTTTTCTAATAGAAAAAATCGATAATCAGTCAATATCATCTTTACTCTCAACTTTAAATTTTCTAGTTTTATGTCTTTATTTAAGTCTCGAGTGTCGTTACAGTAAGAGATTTAATAGATTGCAGGCTAACTAAATATGTATGAATTACAAAAATAAATACTTTTGAATGATTGAGAATGACAGAATCTATTTTAAAACTCTAAGTTTTTTTTTCAATTGAAATGTTTTTGTTTTTTATAATCCATAATCTTTTATATATAAATGATTTGATCTTAAATATAAAAAAATCGAGTTATTTGTTTAGTCAGAACATTATACCATTTCGAAAATTGGTATGAGGAAAAATGTAAAAAGTTTCTTTGAGAAAAACTTGAAAAAGTAGTTTTCTTTTTAGATATTAGTCTTATCATAACAATTCTGATAAGAATTTTAGTTTGATTACTGTCATTTCTATTCTAGACTAACTTTAGTCAAAAAACAAGGAAGAAATTCCACTTTAAAACATCGAATATGAAAATATAGCTCTGTATACTTTTTTTAGAATTACATTATGATGAACTTCATGAAATTGAATAAGCGAAATTTTTGTTATTCAAACTAATATTTGAACGAGGAATTTGACAATACAAAACGAAACTTGTTAAATTCATATATAAGTGAATTATTTGAATTATTTTTTGAAATAGTACCTGAATTTTATACAGTTGATCAATCAACTAGTGCAGTAATATCAATACGATTAAAAGCTAATTCAGATAAATATCTTCTATTAAAACAAAATATTCTTGCTAAGTAAGATAATAATATAATATTGTTAATGTAAAATAAATTATTTTGTTAATAAGATATCCTCGAACAAGTATTCGACAAGATTTGGTTGATGCTCATTTATATTTAATAAAAAAATCTTGTTTGGATATTGCTATTCGTTCAAGTTATTCATCATTTCCTAAACAATGTCTACCAGAAATGATTCAACGAATGGCAACTGGTCAATCACTTGAAGATCTCATTTCAACATCTGCTAATGTAACGATGGTGATGAGACAGAAAGGTTTATTCTTATTTTAGTTCTTTCTTTTATTGAAATTTGATTCAATTTAAAAAAAATAGCCACTAATTTAGATAATCATGCTGATTTAACAAGACTTTCAAAACCATATGATTGTGATAATAAACAAATAAGAGGAGGTTGTTATTACTTTATTGATGAGACACAAATTTTTCGCGTTAAACATGTTCTTTCATATCTTGAAGCTAATCGACAAGTCAGTTATTAACATTATTTTACTTTATTATTATCATTATTATTATTATTATTATTATATTTGTTTTTTTGTATTTTCAAGGCATCATCACTCATTTTATCATATACCAATGAAGATATTACATTTAAAGATCGATTAGAACAGATTCAAGTAAAGTTTTGTTTATTTCAAAGAATCTTATTATACGTATATTACTACTGAATTTGACATAGTACAAATTAAAATAACAATTTCAAATGTTGGAGTATAGATGTAAAATATCTCTTATCCATTTAAATGTTAAAACTTTTATTTTTATTAATAACAGAGATAGAATGTAATATATATATATATAATTCTAGATTACTCCTGCTTGTATTGTCGGTGATGGACATGTTATTGGAAAGAAAACGACAGTTAAACGAACTATTATTGGCAAAAATTGTCGAATTAAAAATGAATGTAAAATAGTTAATTGTGTTTTACTAGATAATGTTTATGTTAAAGAAGGGTAAAAATTAAAAAAACGATAAATAGATAAATTTATTTATTTTCTTTTTAATTATTATAGAGTAACTCGGGAAAATTCCGTATTATGTTCTCATTCCACAATCGGATCAAAATGTAGAATTCAAAATTCAATTGTGTGTTTCAATCAACAAGTCGAAGCAGACAGTTAGTTAACTTTTTATTTTTTAAAATATCAAATTATATGTTATTTCTTATTAGGAAAATTGAATGGTGAAACAATATCAGCTAAAAGCGATGAATCTGATATTTTTGTGGTATTCAATGATGAATAGTGATGGTGCAATCATCTTTTATTTTTTATCTTATGATAAACAGAACGGTTTTTCTTTTATATCAATATGTATTCAAGAAAAATGAAAGACGAAGAAATGTAGAAACTAATTAGAAATAGACACGTTTTGAATGATATAAGTCTATTCTATATTTTTAACTACAATATATACATGAACTCGTACGCAATGATTCTCATGGATGAATTGTACGATCATGTAGAGTCTATGATATCTAAAGAAAATATTGTTAGTTGTGAACGAATTCAAAGATCATTATTTTATGATAACAATAAAAGTGATATCATCATGTTGCCATTAACGTTTATCTTCTTTAAATCAAGTTAGTTGAAAAGAAAAAATACCTATAGCATCATTGTACCATCATTTTTACTGCATTTCTATGTTATTATATAAATAATAGCAAATTTAAATCACTTTGAATTCTATATAAAAGAGACTTTTTTCGGAACGAATCATAGTGAACATATATTCTTTTCTTCAAAAAGAACATTACAAGAGTTAGGCCACTGATACGGTTTTGGTCTTTAATTATATTACCCTTTACTGCTATTGTTACATTCATTGAAACTTTGGCAATATATGCTCAAGTTTCGACAAATGCACCACTAGACGAAAAGTTTCCTCAAATATCTCAACTAGGTGCTGGTCAGACATAGTGTGTGGGTGTGGGTGTGATTCACAAAGATATCAAGTTCCATATCCACACCCATACCCTCTTCCGAACTTTCGTTGTCATTACACTTGATATTAATTCTAGCAATCAACGATGCAATCATTTCTATAGAATTTTTGCATACATATTCCTTGTTATATAAAACAAAAACTTAAGCTGCCTTCATTTCCTTCAATAATTTCAACATATTAGACCAATAACTCATTCACATATGTGCTGCAAAATAGTTTTCGCTTTATGTATGCACACATCAGCGTTAATAGCCATCATGTTTTTTTTTCTTTGTTCTAAACTGAAAGGGTGTTGCTCTGGCAAGTTGATGTTGCCATCAACCCACACGTTTTCATCATCGCAACATGCATTTGATCAGAACTGATCATTTACCTCTTGGTAAGTTGTATTAAGCAACTTTTCTCGTCGATGTATGCAGCACGACTTCAGCTCTGTTTTCACTAATACCATTTAAAAAACTGAATGTAAATATAAAATGTGTAAAGACAAAGCAGATGTCGTGTTCTACAGATCGTCCAAAGAAGTTGCTTACTACAACTCACCAAGAGACACATTTATCTATATGCACTTTGATTCTTGAAACAGAGTGCAACATTTAACTTCATCTGCTGAGAAAGAGTGTGGGATCTCACTATACTTCGAATTCTCATTCAGAAAGGTGAATGTTATCA